GGGTAAGAGTTACTATGCATAAGTAGCTCTCTGCTCTGGGAATTTCCTGGTTTCTTGTTCTGAGGCATCTTGTTTCAACATCCCAGATTTCACCTGCCTTGGTCAACCCTAGCCAATGTGATGGGTAATCAAGTTCCATCTTGCATTTCCATGGTAGTCATTGAAATTCTCTCAGGGTGCGTTCCTGCACTTGTGTGAGCTGTTACTAACGTGATCCAAACTCACTGGAGGGCACACCTATGAGCCCATCATATTTCTCCATCTGCCCCTCTGACAATCTTCTATTCTTCTAACATGGCTAAAGACTTATGTCAGCTTGTATCAGAATTGTCCCATCTTTGTTTCCATTCTGGGATCAATTTTTTTCTCTGAAAATGTAAACATTATTTAAAGTCAGATGTTACTCCTTTGTTCATTCTGATGTGTTTCTGAATTAGTGCACCCATTTTCTTGGCTTCAACTACCACCTGAGTTAAAAACAGTTCTTGCTCCTCCAATGTTCACATCCCATAGTCCATGATTTGGTTTTAAATAGTCTTTGTTGTTGTTTGTCCACTTAATACTAACTATAGAGAAATGGCAATAATACTTCCTTGTGAGGAATCTGGCATACCAAAATAAACGTTTGGGACTTGCTTTCTAAAGAGTGGGAATTAAGGATACTTAATTCCCATGATCTAGAGGAGTATATAGTTTAATTCAGAAAACTGGACAGTACACTGCAGAATAAATGCCTGGGATGCCAGGTCACCATCTTTCACTCTTCAAGGCATACTCAGCCCAATAAAGTCACCAAAATGTAATTAAGATCTAGATTTTAATTGACGTTTTTAATGTATGGATATTTTCTGCTAGGGTTCTATTTGACTTATTTCCTGAGTGTCTGGCTTGGTATAAGCTGAAAGGGAGAGTGAGTTGTGAGTTTCACAGTACAGATTGCTCAACAGTTGTTTCAATTCAGCTTCATCGGCCTTTCAGCTTCTGAACATTCCTTTGACATCTGAGGAATAATATTATTCTAAGATTTTGATGCTATTATCAGATACTATTTACAGAGGCATATCCTTTGAAAGTTGGAAGGAACTACATTAAGCCTAGCTAAGAAGCCATGATTTTGAACTGGAAATCTCTTTCATTTGTCATTTGGAAAACCCACTGCAAATAGGTACTCAATAGAAAAAAAAACATAATGAACATTAAGCCAGTAAATAGAAACTATTGTGTTGTACACATAGAACCAATGCATGCCATAGATAGTACTCACCAGATTCTTTATCTTACATCAGAACACAGAGTTCCCTTCCTTTGGATATTTATGCATAGACTGCTTTCCTTGGGCAACCTGCCCAAATCTATCTACACACAAACTTTCATTACTTCCATCCTGCATTCTATTTTATCCTCCTTGACACAGTTGCAAGTCATTTTCTCCCAGAACCATCCCACCTCCTGGTATACACTTATGTGACTGAACGTTTCTGTTCTATTTTTTTTAATGTAGCCAAACATGACCTTGAACTTCTGATCACCCTGCCTCCACTGACAGAGAGCTGTCATAGCACCAAGACAGCACCGCCAACACTGGTTTTTATCACACGCCAGAAATGCTCATTTGAATTTTGTCAACTCTCCTCAATTGAGAGTCATCTGGCAAGAGAGAACTCAACTGAGAAAATGCTTCCACCAGATTGGCCTCTAAGAAGTCTGTAAGTCAGTTTCGATTAATGATTGATGTGTGAAGGCCCAGCCCATTGTGGGAAGTATAACCCCTGAGCAAGTGGTCCTCCGGCCATGGATAACAACAAGCAAGCAAGCTGAGAGAGTCATGCATAGCAAACCAGGAAGCAGTGTTGGGTGGTTCTGCTTCAGTTCCTACCTGACCCACTGAATGCCAAAGCTATGATCCCATCATACTTTCCAGTTGCCCTTCTGACCATCTTCTATTATCCCTAACATATGTCTAAACAGTCTTGCTTGCTTGTGTTAGAATTACCCCATTTTTTTGTCCATATCCTGGAATCAAATTATCCCCCTGAAAATGTAAGCACTATTTGAAATCAGATGTTACTCCTCTGGTCAAGTTCACTCTGATGTGTTTGTGAATTAGTTCACCCATTTTCTTGGCTTCAACTACCACCTGAACTTGGAACAATTGTTGTTCCTCCAGTGTCCACATCCCACAGTCCACGATTTGCTTTTAAATGTTCCTTATTGTCATTTGTCAACTACAGAGGGATAACAATAATTCTTCCTCGTGAGGAGTCTGGCATCCCAGATCACATGTTTGGGTCCTGCTCTCTGTATCGTGGGAATTGAAGATGTGCTCTGTCATTGTGCTCTCTTTACATTCCTGCCTTAGCTTCCATCACTGATGGACTAGAAGCTCTAAGATGAAATAAATCCTTTCCCCATGTTGCTTTTCTTCCATCATGGTGCTTATCACAGTAATCGAAAACAAGCTAAGTCAAAGGGATCAAACCCATGGTTTTGGACATGCTAAGCAAGTACTGTATCAACTGAGCAACAACAGTATCCTGGCTGTACTTTCACTAGTGTACCATTATTTCCTTAAAGGTGCATCACAGTCTGATATTACATGCCAGTTTGATCATTTGCATAGCATCTGTTACTGTCTTAGTTAGCTTTCTGTTGCTGTGATAAAACACCACAACCAAATGCAACTGGAAAGGAGAGGATTTATTTAGCTCACACTTCCATATCTTTCACAGCCCATCAACAGAGGAAGATAGGGTGGGAACTCAAAGCAGGTGCCTGGAGCAGGAATGGAGTGAAAAAGCTAAGGGACTGAGGCAGAAGCGACAGAGCAGTGCCGCTTACTGACTTGCTCCACATGGATTACTCGGCCAGCTTTGTTATAGAACCCGGGGCCACCTTCCCAGAAGTGGTACTGTCCATAGTGATCTGGGTCCTCTCACATCAATCAAAAAATTGAAAAAAATAATGCACCACAGGCAAGTCCACAGGCCAATATTGTGGGGTATTTTCTCAAATGAGATTCCTTCTTCCTAAATGACTCCAGCTTGTGTCAAGTTGACATAAAAGTAGCCAGAACAGTTACCGAGGCTAGATTCAGTCCATATCCATGAAACATAAGCTCTAACATGGCAGAGATTGTCTACTTTATATGGAACTATGTGAGATGTCTGCCATCTTTTCTTGTAATTGATAGAAGTCATGAAACAGAAATCATTTCTTAAATGACTGTGAGTACACAAAGAGGGTTAAGAAAGAAGATAGCTTCTATACTTTTATAGCTTTCTCTCCTTTATGTAATATCTCACATAAAAGTTCATATACTTTTTATAGCTTATATCTTATTACAGACATCACTGCAGAAATCATGGTCAGTACCTGAGGCAGATGATGCCATAAAGTTCAAGATCTTTATGTCCTGACTTCATTTCAAGTCTTTTAATCATTTCACCAGGAGGAAATGTTGCTGACAAAGAAAACCATCATTAAAAAGATTCCCAGAGTAATTCTAAAGCAAGAGATGCTCTTTTACAGTTTTAATCTGTGATCAGAAAGAATTCCAAAGATTGAGGTGGTTGTTATTTCGTGATCACATTCTTCAATTGATTGCATTCCAGTTTCCTGCTGGTGTCTCACTCATGGGAGAATTAAAAAAATGCTAGGAATGTTTAAGAACTTCATTTATTAAATTACAAATGTTTGTTATTGTATGTGATAATTTTAATTTTGTATTTTTAAAAATTGAATTCTATCACTAAAGCAGTAGGATAGATTTTTATTTAAAAGAGTGTTGTGGTTAATGGCTTAGAAATCAGGAGCATTTTTAATATGAATAATTTCCCTTGATTTGTGTGATTTGCTAATCATTTTCTGGCTGTGAGATTTTCTTCATTAAAGGCTCGTGATTGGAAGGCAAACAAAATGTGATCCCTTTGACACTAACTCTGCTCAAGTCCCACAGAAATAGACTTTATTTTGTCACTTTATAATCAGGAAGGATGAAAAATATGCCAAACCCTATATGATGTCTCCTTTTTCTTCAAAACAGGAGCAAATAGTCAAATCTCTAGTAAGATTATTTATATATACATGATCAATAGCACAGATAATCAGGCTTCAAACTTAGCAGTCTCCAAGTAGAGGTATTCTGTGGCTGAATGGCTGTCTATATTATCAGCAAATACACTAGTATGAACTGCCCAATATTGGGTCCAGTTCATTTGATTTCCAGCCTTATATACTGCAATATACCAGGGAACACAGGGATTCCATTCACTTATAGAGATGAGGGAGATTTTACATATAAAACTCAATCATAGGTCCTGCTCTATAGTAAGGAAACTGCAAACACTAGCCACTAGGATGGTGTTTATCTGGGACATTAGATGGAAATCTTGTTATATTTGTAGATTACTCTTTGCTTCATGAATGATTCAGTAGCTCTGAAAAAGAAAGGAACTCATAGTAACACATGAATGTTTTATAATTGTTATTTAATATTTATGTAATACAACTAAAGTCATTTTAAACATGAATGAATGAGTGACTGGATGTTCACACCTGGAATAGTGGGTATATTGTGTGTGCCCGTGGGGGGGGGGCATGACTGTCTTAAAAAGAGATGAATCCCTCATACAGTAGAGGTCAAGTATTAATATTCTTCCTAGACAATGGCACTTCCTTGATATGAATTTTTGCTAGTTCTGGATAGCTGGATCTAGCAAAGGCAGTGATACCCAAAGAAGATCCTTTGTATTAGCTCTGTTTTATTTTATAATTCCTTTTGGTGGAAAGATTTAATTTAATGCATTTTCAATAGCAAAGAATATGTATTCTATCTATCTCTTTTATGCAGCCTCCAGATGTGACAATACTTTAATTTCAAAGCAATTTTTTTTTGGAAACATAAAGGCATAGGTTGTCTTTCTTGTTCCTTTCATGTCACTATATCAAGTTCATAACAAAACACCTGCAAAGCAGTGCAGTTTCTAAGAAAACGGCCAAGCTGTTAATGAAGTAGACATCTTTTAATTTACAAACATCAGTAGTGTAACCGATATTAGTCTGTAGAAAGACAAAGCATAATTGTCATTGTTAAAAAGAGTTTTTCTTTTAAAGAAACATCTGCATCTTCACAGGGCACCCTGGGATTTTCATGAAGGAAGAGCACAGTCAACTATAAATCATTATCAACTCTACAATGTCACTTAGAAGCAAACTTGTTAACATGGGAGCGGTAAGGTAATCAAGGAGTTTTATTGTTTGGAGAAAAATTACAGTTTTTGACATGACAGTCTTTCTTCTGCCCCCCTTCCCCAAAGCATGGCAGGGAAAAATTAATTAATTTGTAAAAGGTCTACTTCCTATTGTCCATCGCTACAGATAATTTCCTTCCTCCTGTGAGGACATATGACAGATGGGTACACTTGCTGTCTTTACTCATATAGCCTTTGCAAACCCTCTGCAAGTGTCCTGAAAGAGGCCACAGGTCAGTGACATCAGTGGTCAGATGTCGAGGTCAGCCAAGAGAACAACATATACCTATCCCAAGATACCAAAATAACATCCTATGTTAGTTCTATTGCCAAAAAAAATCCTGATTTTTTTTTAAGTTTGAAAATGTACAAAAATATCAGGATAATTATAAATTAATATATATTAAAGCATCGAGAAACAGTCCAAAGTGATGACCTAAATCCTTAAGTACAATGTACTTTAATACAATAAATATTTCTCGTTGAAAATGAATACTGTATAGGGCTATTTAGAACTCATAAAAACAAAAATTCATATTATTACTATTTTTTTATTTATCAATAATCTATTGGTTCTTTATCATCTCCTTTATCATTTATATTACAAAAATTAATACTGGAAAGTGGTAGATAAACACCTTCGTGTGCTGTTTCTGCAGATATGTATCATTGCCAAAGACAATAAAATACATTGCAGCCCTCCACACCCATTTCTCTCCTGAATGAAACCCAGATGGCAGGACATTTTATATCTTCCACAAAATATTTCTCATCCCTTGGATCTATCTATGGATTCTGGATTTCCATTCCCCTGCCTCACAGTCCCATTGAGATGCTTGTGCTTGGTGTGTTCTTGTGAACTGCACTGATGGGAAGGGGGTCATGGGTTTTATGCTCTGGGCAATCACATGTGAATGTACAGTCCCATGTTAGGCTCTTGTATATGTGCTTCTGCTAGGATTAGCATGTTCCAAAGATGGCTCCGTGTTGCCATGGTCCCCACTGCTGCACTAATGCCTCCGAGTGTGGCTTTTCTTCACACTTTTTCCAGTGTAGGGGAAGCTTTAGTACAAGTATGTCTTTTATTTTTTTTCCAAACGCAGACAAGTCTTTATTATCATAATAAAAATAAGTCTGTTCTGTATTTTACAATATATTTCAAATATTTCCATTATGAAGCATGAATTAGTCCAACATGGTCAAGAAGTGTATAACCTTCGCCAAAGATGGAAGCTGCTAGAAATGCAGTTAGGAGGCACATCTCGTGCAGCCACACTTCACCACCTTCTCCACCTCGTCCACAAATGAGGATCCGTCTGTGCACTCAAAGGAGTATTTCCGCCTCTTGCTCCTCAGAGGTCCACAGCATTGCCCACCGGCACATCCTCCTCTACATTCCAAGCGAGACACTTTCTTTGTTGTTTGACAGGCAGCATAACCCTGCTGCTTTTGGTAATAATCTCGGATCCGCTCCCCTCGGCAAGAAAGTTCTAGAAAAGAACAAGGAAATAAGAGCATTTTTAAAGACAGACACTGTAAGTTTTGTAGACTGATTGAAAGAAAGTCAAGATCTCCATTTTGTGGTCATTGTCCTTCCTAGCATTTTGAAACTGCTATTTTTAGTGTGATGCTTGAAGTCTACATTATGGACTGATGGCGTGATCCAATCTTCCTTGAAAAATGCATCTTTTAGGCCTCTATTTCCAGCAAAGTGAATGCTATATATGTAGACAATAAATACAACATGTTTGTTCTGACAAGAAAATTGGATTCCTAAATCTTTTCCTTTATTGCAAAAAAGGAGAAAAAAAAAATACATATCTTCTGTTTCTACAGGACTAACAGCTGGTTTTGTTTACCACGGGGAGCAGTTTCACAGAGAATGCAATTTAATTTATTAGGCCCAGAATTTAATATTATCCAATATGTTACTTAATACAAGTAACATTCCACTAACTTCATAAATTACGCTAGTATGAAGTAGTTCAAAAAAGAGACATCTGTTGAAGGCTTCCGCAGGCACGTTCATCTTATTGTCTGATGCACCCAAGTCTGTGCCAGCTGGAGGCCAGGCAAGTTCGGATTTTGGAAACAAAGCAGAGAGAGGTGGGCTGAGAACACAGTCGGCTTCCATCGCTCTCACCTGCATAATTTACTGTGATAAATCAGTCGATGCTAAGGGCAAGGGTGACTGTACTCCAAGCCGGTGATTCTGTACTCAAACCAGAACAGAGCTACCACCTCCGTGGTCTCTGTCTGGAGCCAGATTAGTAATACATGTAGGTGAAGGGATCAGGTAGAGGCTCAAGCTGAGTTGGGTAGCTGTACTCTGAAGAAGGGAAAAAAGAGACTTTCTAGAGCAAGTCAAATTGTGATAAGATGTCTGATGGCCATGAGACAAGTGAGACTTGACTGCTTTTCGCAGTTAGTAACTGCATACCACCTGAGAACCAATCAACAACAGTAGCTACATGCTATGCCCAGGCCAAGAGTTTCCTCACTGCACTCGATCTCTTTCACCCTATCTCTTTCACCCGGGATGAGGCATGCCTTGTGGTTTGTGACAAGGTGCCTGCCTAGCTTACCTCTGTCACAGCTGTCCCCAGTGTATCCACTGCTGCATTCACAGTAGGGCTGCCCCAGTCCAGAGAGCCTGCACTTGCCATGCTTGCACTTTATCATCTGGCAAGGGTTAAACAGGTCTTCCTCTTCATCACAAAGGACACCTCCGTGACCTTCCAGGCACTTACAGCTGTAGGAGAAGGCATTGATGGGCAAGCAGGTGCCGTGTACACATCTATAGTGAAGGAGAAGCATAGGAGTGAAAATAAGGTTGATAGAGGAGTTCGGAATGTATGGTGGTTAGGCAAAACCATGTCTGAATACAGAGAACAGAATTCTAATGTGTTGATTTCTCTAGGCCCCTGCTCTTGCCCTGCCAACCTCCCGCCTTCTTCTCTTAGATTTGCTTGGAGAATTTAGCATATTTACTGAGTACCAAGCCACTGGAACTTACTTGTTTCCAAGGCAGGGGTCATTGGTTCGCTGGTCACAGAGGGGCCCCATCCACCCTTCCTCACATTCACAGGTGAAGCCTGACTGGCTGCTGGGCTGGCATGTGCCATGAGCACATACTTTCTTGTGGCATGGTTCACAACCAGGCAGAATCCCGGTTTGCATGGGCACTTTCCGGAAGTCTTGCAGCTCACTGTTGATGTAAAGGTTCCGGATACAGCCATGGAAGCTGGTACCATTCTGCCCAGGGGCCTGGCGCAATGATGCCACGTTATTCTTCCCAGGCATGCCTAGGAAGAAACAGCATGTCAGTTAAGAGTCTTTATATGTTCCTCGGTCATTTGCTACAGAGAAATATTGAGGTTCATCAGTCCATTTCTATTACATTGGAATATGCATGCTCAGATGAAGAGGTAGAGAAAAGCTGAACATTTTGTTTCTCATTTTGGTAAGATGTAGTAAGTTATTCTTAGAGTGAGACTTTACTGCTTTTCACAGTTAGTAACTGCATACAGTTATTCTGACTTTTAACTAAAATAAACCGAGTTTATTGGTGTCAGTTCTTAATTGGTAAATTTATCTCAAACAAAACTTGTAATATATATGAATTTATATAATCTTCAAGAATGTCTACTTAAAGAAAAACTAGAGGTAGACATTTTTTCCATTCCCCGTGGGTCTAGACACCATGTACACAGGGAAGCCACCAGTTATAATTCTCTGTCTGATTATAACATCGAAGGATGGAGCTTAGGGAGCTTGAGCCACAGATTCCATGCCACCCATGTCAGCATGCCTACCCTTCTTAATCCTGGAGCCCAGGTTCAGTCTACCAGGACTCTGAGAGTGAGAGTTGGAGCTCTCAGTGACCCACCTCAAACTTCACAAATTCTAACTTAGCAACTAACCCAGCACCTCAGGGGCACTGTCCCTGCACAGTTGAGGATGTCTGTGCTTGAAAAGCTCATTTTTGCTTCTTATCTGGATAGCACCTCATTTACATGATTTTTTTTCTACTTAGAATGAAGCTTTTATGTAAGAAAATTTAAAAAAAAAGGAATAAGTTTCATCACAAACAGCATTTGCAATCTTGGGGCATATACATTCCAGAAGTGACAGTCATCTGGTAACTGTTATTTTGGCAAAGCTGAAGAATCTTTCCATGGCCTGATCCAGACCCTGAAATAGTTTCTTGACAGTGCTTTACACAGAGGACCTTGTAGGACACTGGATTAGGAGATGGGAGGGAGTTGGAAGCCTCTGAGCAAATGACTTGCCTCCCAGTGCTCATGATTCAACTGTGCTGGGACTCGGAGCTATTGCTTGGGATCATAGGCTGGCCTTCACTCTCTGGGGACCATTACATTCTAGGGTTCTTGTTCTGTGCCATCATTCTCTTCCCTAGGCCAAAAGCCCCATTTGAGTCTTAATAGGCACCAAAAGCAGACATGTAGGTATACAAAGCTACTAGTCTAGAGGTCAAGTCTCTAATATTGGTTAAGTGTTTCATGGTTAATTTTCATTATCTAGTTGATGTGATTTAAAATCACTATATGTCTGAGTTTCTTTTCCTGATACTGTTGTAAAATTCCCAAACAAAAGCAACTCAAGGGAGAAAAGCTCATTTCAACTTGCAGTTCAAGGGTACAGTCCGGTATGGCAGCAAAGTCAAGGCCACAACAGTTTAAAGCAGCTGGCCACATCGTATGCAGAGTCAGGAAGCAGAGAGGGAGGCAAGCTAATACTCAGTTCACTTTATATGTTAGAGTCCTGGATCCCACCCCCTCTGCCCCTAGGGAATGGTGAGACTCTTATTAAGATGGCTCTTCCCACATCAATTAACTTAATCGGCACAATTCCTCACATCCATGCCCAAACGTTAAATAATCCCTCACTGGGAAACACAACCCAGGGTCTGTGCAGAAAGGTCTAACACAACAAGGAAGACATGTCATGAATGTGGATGCTAAAGTATCATGAACTCGGATCTTAGGCTCAATACAAAGAAGAAACATCATTGAGTGTATTCATCTCACTCTGCTTTCTGACTGCATCAGTGACCAGCTGCTTCATAACTGCATGACCTCTCTACTAAGATGGATTGTGCTCTCAAACTGTAATACAGAATAAACCCTTCCTCCTTCAAGTTTGTTTATTTGTTTATTTGTTGACACTGCAATGAGAAAGTTTACTTAGAGAGTATATCCTGGCCAGTCATTTTCCCTCTCTGGGTCTTAGTTGCCTCATCTCTACCACAAGAAGATAGCCCAGAGCAATTGTTTGTCAGCTTCTCATACCTATGTCCTACCAAAATTGTGTTTTCAAAGAGCATCTTCCCATCTTTCCCCACCCCGAGATGCTGATCTTTTGTGAAAGAGGACAAGTACAGAATTCTAAATGTCAGTATGCACCACAGGTGATTCTGATGCAGGGGGGCTCATGGCCACACTAGACCAGGTACTAAGTTCTTTGTCTTTAATTTGAAGTTCTATGAGTGAAGACATTCACATGGTGTGTGTCTGGTCCTGGAGAATGTACTACTACACCAAGATTGAGGCACGCAGTTGACTATTTTCAGGGGAGTATCAGTGACAGGAAATTTTTTCCTGTGGGGAAAGTCTTTCTAAATGGTGTTCATCCATCACAAACATGTGGGCTTTAATGACCCTCATTTTGGGTCATTTCTTAAAACAGTTAAAAATGAAGTTCTTCCAAAGCTGTTTTAAATGCTCATTTCAATGGAGATACAATGTTTATTTGTGCGCATATCCAGACTAAATTGAGACTGGCCAGTTTCTTCAGCAGTGAGAAGCAATGAATGAACTTGTTTCATTTAGTCCCAAATCCTACAACTTCAGAGGGTGTAGTTTGGTGGTGAAAATCTATAAAACAACATAGCTACATACTCTGTACATGCTCAACTTTCAATAGCATATAAAAATCAAGACCTTTTCTAGATTATTTTTGGACCTGGGGGTTGACCCAAACACCTCTAACTGCATGTTCTACCCTGAATTATCCCTCTAACCAATAACTATTCTGGGTCATCACTTTCATATGCATAGTTAGAATGCTGGTTTTTAGCTGATAAACAGAAGCACATCTGTATTTTTTTCTTTTGAAATAGTAATTTACTGCACAGTCCAGAGGAACTGGAACCATAAATTCCATTGCTTCAGCCTCCTGAGTGCTGAGAATACAGATGCACAATGCCTTGACATACCTGGTAACACATGATTTTGCTTTCCATGACTTTTCCATTTGTATTTCATGGACTTTAATTGGAAGTAAATTAATCTACCAATCAGTCACTACATAACTTAGTAAATGGATTTGAAAAAAGCCTTTCCAGTCTCTTTATGTTTTAAAATGACTCCAAGGGGCATAGTACCATGATTGAAATCTTTTGTCCAAAGGTGATGACACTGTTTTGGTAATATGTGCCTAGATACCTATGTCTGTATCTTAAACCTTCCCCTTGCAGTTAAGTAATAAGTGTTCTAGTTCAATTGTTAGATGGGAAAACATGAAAATTCTTCTGGTTTATGTTACATAAACATCATGAATAGTCAGTAATGCAAGAGCAAGCTTAGCTGCACTACCAGTTTGCATTTTTCCAGAGAATGCTTCTGCAATGGACCAATGGCGAGGCCATACAGGGTACCCTCCTCAGGGACCTTGCTTCCTTTTTGGTGACTCAGCTCCTCTTGCCTCTGCCATGTGACAGTCAGGCTGTGGTCTGCTGGGTTCTTTGTTTTTTAAAGCCTGAACCACCACCATAACCACATCCTGGGGAGGAAGTAGATGGGCTCAGTGTGTTCTCTGGCAGTGAGGCTGATACCAAGATGGTTTCCCTTAGTCCTGAATATTCAGAGGTGCTTGTGGATTCTTCAGAGACCTCTAGCCTCAGAAGGATTAGCACTTCTCAATTGGGAGATTATTTTTCCCCTGTTTTAAAAATTTTCTGTCTTAAACAATTTCATCTGAATTTTAAAAAGAACTGGACATCATATTTTAAGAGGTTCTTAAAGCATTCACTGAAATATTTTTGAGTAAAAGCACCATAAATTCAAGTCAAGGACAAATTTGGAAGTAAAGGCAAAACCATATTACTTAAGCCATTTTGTTTTCTGGTTTTTGTAAAAAATTAAGTGGCAATGCAGGTGGCATTGGGGTCAGAAAGATCTGGACTTAAATAATAGTCTACCACAATTTAGCTTTGCAAACTTCTAAAAGCTTTATAAAGTTCTTGAGGCGGCAGCTTTGCGACTATGAAATGAATAAAGTAGGGTTTACCTTCTAGTTTTACTTCAGTTTTCTCTGAAAATGAAAGGTTGAGCCACTAAAAGCAGTGCCATATAAATAAAAACGTTATTTAAAAGAGAAGCACTATGTTGGTAATAGCAAATGCTTAAAATATATATCTCATCCCTGTTACATCATGGTTAACACTCAGGGCTGGCTTTACACACTGCAAAGCAACTCTGCACTGCCGAATAGGTGAAAATAGAAACTAAAGCCAGAGGCAATCTCAGAATGGAGAGAAGAGGTGGCATGAAGTCCCACCCATAGTCCAGGAGCTGTTGACAATATTTAATAATGGTAGAGGGAAGTTTTATTCAAGTGATTCTCCAGGTAAGTTGACCAAGCTCCAGCAGAAGCCACACAGTGAAGAATTATGAGTAGCACAAACTGGACTTAGTTTTGTATTTTTTTTTTTTTTAAGGACAAAGACATGGGTGGCTAGGGAAAACATGAAGGAATAGAGGGAGGGATGAATATGATCAAAGCACATAGCACAAAAGTTTTCAAATAACTAATTTAAAAAAGAGTCTCATAATCCTCATAGTGGTGACTCCTATGAACTAGGAGGTCAATCAGCTTGTTGAGTATAGTCAATCTGCAAGATTTTAATTGTAATGTCCCATCAGTGATTCAGAGATGTGTCTACATGCTTCATGTTTCTGGGACCAGAAGAGACATTTATTTTTCAACTTTGTGACATAGACCTTTCATTAATTTGGTTCCCAACGTATAGTAGATGGCCCATAAGCACACATAAAATTGAATCAAAGGTGCTGAACTTTTTCTAACCTTTTACAACAACATCAATGTTCTATGATTTTTTTTTTAAAAAATATGTGCATTGGTGTATTGCTGGCATGTATGTTTGTGTGAGGGTGTCAGATCTTGGAGTTACAGACAGTTGTTAGCTGTCATGTGGGTACAGGGAATTGAACCTGGGTCCTCTGTAAGAGCAGCCAGTGTTCTGAAACTGAGTCATCTGTCCAGCCCCCTATGATTTTTTAATTATGAAAATTATTAAAAATGGAAATGATCTGGTTTTAGGAGAAAATGGCAAGCAATAGTTTTTTTTTGTTTGTTTGTTTTTGTTTTTGGAAGATTTGGAAAGATTAAGATGATTGAATAGCATCCTGAAGTTAATCTTTTTTAGAGACTAAGAACTTCATAAAAATACTAGTCCTGATGAAGAAATGAAGTGTGTTGACATGTTTAGAGGCTTTAGTTATCTGTTAAATAAGTTAATCTTATCAACTCCATAATTTAACTTATTGCATTTCAGTTCAATATCACATCTTGTTATTCTTTTTCTGAATTTTGTAATTCTGTTTCCAATTTACACTTTATTTTCCAGACATAGAGAATGGTAAGAGTTCTGTTCTTTATAGGTTTTCTCCCTGTACTTCTTTATCTCTCTTTGTCTCTCTGCCTCTGTCTTTCTCTCTCCCCCAACTTCCTTCTTATTGCTTAAAGTAAGACTTGGAGTTGGACTATAGCATTCCTAGCACTAGCCTACCTTGCCAAGGTTTTCTTTTTTCCTTCACTGTAAGAGCCCAGCTAAACAAATATACTTCCTACTAGTCTGATGAAATCCTTAAATTTGAGTCACTGATCATTTCATTGAGTTTCAGTGACAATTGCTCTATAATTTGTATGAACTTCTAGAAATATCAGCATGGCAACATTGGGTTGAGCTGATATTATCTGCCTCATTAAGGGAGCAGGGTTGGGGACTCCTCGTACTACTTTGCACCAAACTTGTTTAATCATGTGTGTGTGTGTGTGTGTGTGTGTGTGTGTGTGTGTGTGTGTGTGTGTAGGCTAGAGAACAACTTCTGGTGTCCTTTATCAGGATCCCTGTACCTTTTCTTTTGAAATAGGTTCTTCCATTGCCCTGGATCGCACTCAGTAGGATAGGTAGACAAGCAGATCCATTAAGCCCTAGGGATCTGCTTGTCAACCTCCTCGGCACTGAAATTGTAAGTATACCACACTACCTAGCATTTCACATGGTTGCTGGGCATTTAACTGAGGTTCCTGAGCACTTTATACACTGAGGTGTCTCCCCAGCCTTATTTTATGATTTTCTAACTTGATTTCTAACCAATTTTCTGCTTCTATCTGCAGACAGATATAAAATTAAATGACACTATATATAAATTACCTAGCTAGTATGTCATAGATGAAGAACTAATGTCTTTCTGTGACCCGATGACATACTGAGTTAGACCCAGAACCAGGATGACCGAATGGTCCCTTAAGAGACATTTCCATCTCTTTCTGTTTTATACTTGTTGGCCAATTACAATAATTGATCAGTGTCAATGATCATGGCACCAGGCACCAGAAACTTCAGATTTGATCTATAATGAGAAGCACAGAGTTGGAAGACCATTGGATTTGGAAGGAAGTTCACCTCCTACATAAAGTGGGGAGTCAAAATTCAGAGTAGATTGTTTTGACAAGTTGGTGATGATTTTAGGGCTTCCTCCATCCACAGAGAGGGAAAGGCTCGAATCCAGGGTCAGTAGCTCCACAATGTGGAAATTTCCATCATTGATTGTCTCCACACTGCAATAGAAGAAAATAAAAAATTAACTCAAAACATAGTTAAAATACAAGCTTCAATAAACACAGCTTCAGAAGAGACATTCATAGCAGACATTAGGGAAATTGACTTTTAAAGGGTATTCTGAAGGAGATAAAATTAATTTTGATCTCTCAGGATCTGGGCACAAAATAAATCTGTTCTCCCACAGAGAGAACTGGACATAAGTACACTCATTAAGCCAGCCACATTCAGTCGATTTGTGGAATTCACAAATGAGAACTTATTTGTTTTACTTTTAAAGGACATAAAAGTTTCATTTACCAAGAGACAGTTTACGACTCCAAATGGCATTAAGAAGCCTGCAGCTCCTTTGGAGGCTCCACAGGATTGCTGCCTTTTGCACTGTGACACAGTGTGTTAGCACCCATCAGAATCAAGATGCAGAGGAATACAAGAACCAACTTGATCGGCTCTCTGCACTTTTTCACATTTTATAAATTGAAAACATACTTTCATTTCTTGTCTATTTTTGGAGGAATACTTCTCGAGCCGCATTATGGTGAGATATAGTTATTCAATTGGTAGCTAGGATTAACAGGTTAAATAACATGCTTAACATAGTCAATATGACAGTGTTATTTGTTTTTAAAATATGATTTTGAAACTGTAATACAATTACATAATTTTTTTTGTAAAGAAGTAGAAGTATTAAGGAATGGATGCTAACAGAAAATGAGGATTGGGACATAAGATGAAGTTTGGTTTGATTTGTTAATGGTTTTTAATTTTTTTTTAACTATACTTGACTTTGGTTTTAAACTGGCCAAAAAACTTATCAGGAGAAATGATCAATTCCATGTCAGGGACACTCCAACAAGTAGTGAATAGACAAAAGATGGCATAATAGAAGCTGGGTGAAACAATAAATACTGAACATTAAAGACCTAATAAACTGAAATACTGCCTAAAATGGTTGAGAAAAGGTTCAAACATGGACAGGTGCAGGGATATGAGAGACATAATTTGTGAATGTGAATGCATAACACTGGCTATAAAAAAATGATTGTTCCATTTTCTTGTACTAATACTTAAATTTTCAATGAGGTCAAGCCTAGAAACTAACAGAAAAATGTACTAATATTTCCACATATTTTCATCACTAGAATCTAATCATATACCACTGTCTTTTTTTTTTTTAACCAAAACCAAAATAGTTTTGATTTGAGGAGTTTAAAATAGTCTTCAGAAATATGAGGATGTTTTAAATCCTTGGCATAGTGTTTAAAAGTTCCCATGTCTGTGGCTGTGGAGGTGGTTCAATGAGCAAAGTGCCTGTTGTACAAGTGTGAAGACATGAGTTCATGTTCACAGTACTTATAAGAGCCATTGTAACCCCAGTACTGAAGGAGTGGACACAGCTGGATGCTTAGAGCACTTTGGCTAAAAGCTTAGCTGAATCAGTGAGCTACATGTAGTTCAGTGACAGAGTCAGAGAACCAAGCAGAGGACACTTGGCTTTAATCTTTAGCACAGATGTACACATCTGAGCACACACTTGCAAACACCACAGGTCACATACCCTCCCCTGCCCCCCTCAGCTTAAAAAAAAGAGTTCACATGGGCCAGGATCTTTGATACCTGGTCTCATATATCACTTAAAAAAAATCAATATGTAGGTTGAGAGATGTTTAAGTAGGCAAAAGTACTTGTTGCCAAAGGTTGATGACCCAAATTTTATTCCCAAAAACTGAGAACTAATTCCTGAAAGTTTCCCTCTGACCTCCTGATATGGCACACATATGCATACATGCATGCCAGAGTGGACACACACACACACACACACACACACACACACACACACACACACACACAGAGAGAGAGAGAGAGAGAGAGAGAGAGAGAGAGTAAATAAATAAAGTGAAAGTGAATTAGACATGCCAATTAATATTTTTCCTTCTACACATTTAATTATAGCAATACTAAAAATGAGCAAAGGGGATAATTTACTGCTTAAATAAAGTTTCACAGTGTAAGGTTAGTTAAATATGGGTTTCTTTCTTCATACATTTTGGACACAAGATCCAGGGGATCCAATGCCTATGAATTTTAACAACAACCAGCATGAACGAAACAGTGGTGTGTGTATTTTGGTGGTAACCAACAGCTCTCTCCAATGGTACTTAAGGCCCTCTTAACAAGAGGGAAATAATGCCTGGTATTGGAAATCTAGCAAACTACCCAGGTCTAGTGACATCTTGGATTTAAGAGGAGAATCTACAACTGCCACTTTCCTATACTAGCACAATCCCTAACTACATTCTAAATATCTATCCTTACACACACAGATAAATGTAACTTTCACCCCTCATCAAATACATTGCTCTTTGCAACAATTAGGCCATTACATAAAACTACAACTCATCAAAATGCAAAGGACAAGTCATGTTTTGGTACCCAGCAAACCGATCCATTTACAACATTGTCCCTAAGAATTGGGAACACTACAGAGGAAGAAGCAGAAAGATTATAAGCCAGCATGTGATTGTGTCTCCTAAAAATGATGGGAAAGCTACACTCATGAAATCTAAACAACATGGCATCTTCAAAAGGATCAGAACAAGGGCTGTATAAACAGACATGCTAATACGGAAGGAGGAAATCTTCCAGGGCCAGAACCCTATAGAAAGAACTAGAGACAACTAAAGAATGCTGAGAGCAGGAGAAATAATCTTCCCCAGGAAAGACCTTTGCAACTGGTTATCCCATACCAAGTGGCCAATCTGAAATCATGTATGTACAAGAACCACTTTATACACTGTATATGTTGTACTTATTTATTTAGGTGTGAAAAATATCAGCTATTAAAGAAATAGAGGACACGAGGGAAGAGGGGAAGAAACTACTACAGGGAAGGCGTTGGAGGTAGGAAAGGGACGGGAGCAAATGATGTAATTATATTATAAAAAAAGGTTTATTTTATTTTATGTGTATTATTTTGTTTTTTCTACATGTAAATCAGTGTTCTTTGTGTATACAGAGGTCAGAAGAAGGTATTGAATTCCCTAGAACTGGAGCTTTGGTTAATTATAATTTAATTTCAAACAATAAAAAGTAATTAAGAAAATTACCCCCTTCCAAAGAGATATGTTGAATTTTACTGTTAGCACTTGGTTTAATTGAGATAAATTCAGATTTGAGCTCTGCTTTTGCTTTATTAAATGTTTGAGATGTTATTTTATTAAATCTTTCACGAATTATTTTATGGCAACACATTTTAGTTCTCTCTGGTGAATGCTGTAAATATTTCCCATTTCACAGTTAATTTTGCATCAAGAAGAAATAATTTTACAAGCATGCATTGCATAACAAGTTAAATGTGAGATATTAGTCTCATCACCACATTCATTAGCAACATCATACAAACTATTCTCAAATCTTAAGGAAAAGTTTGATTTAGTTCCTTTTACAATGCTACTTGAAAGAAAATGCTAAAAATCAATCAAAATGTAACTTCTTTGAGGTATATCTGATTCAGAGTACCAAAAGTTACAAACTAAAGTATTAAAGTTAGTAGATACACAGAGTAAAGGTCATAGCCAATGGGTACTCCCCTGAGATCATATGCAACTTGAGGTGGTTTTATACAGATCTTCTATAAACATTGGCCTTAATTAGATTATAAATATTAATACAGAGGTACCTTTTTTCTCTTTAAAATTGCAAAGAAAAGGCTCACATGCACTGTGGAATGTGCTCTTGGTCATATATTGATTTCTGACAATCAGTCCAGACATATCATTGCTAATGTTGGTATTTGGTGTGGTAAAATTGAGTGGCTAAAGACCTTTAACGTTTTATGCTTCTTAATGCAGTGTTCCAGGTGGGAGGCAAGAGGTAGGTCATTTCATCAACAACTCAATTTACTTACTTACCAGTCATCTTTTTTTCTGTTCTGTGTTTCAGTTGTTTTTGAGTTCTACATCTTTAATGCAAGCTAAATTGTAAGCTACTTTAAAGTAAGGGTCATATATTATATATTTGTGTATATTTGCAAGTGTTCACATGAATATATGATAAATTTTAGAAGATCCATAAACAAGCTATAGAAACATAAGTGAGATTTATTAAAGGTATCGGGAATTGTTACTAGTTATAGTATTAGGTAATAGTTATAACCAATAGGCTTCTGGCATATTTAGAGATGCTTCTCCTAGATATATTTTATTAAGAAATATTATTATAATTAAGTATAATGCTGAGTGGTATAGGTTGCTTAGCCTGTCCTACTTCTAATGAAATGAGTGACCTGGGACAGTTGGGACCATTTCTTTTTCATTAAAGAAATGCAAATAATAAAGGCAAAATTTATTTGACACTATGAAAGAAGTACTGTTTACAAACATTACACACTTTTACAATAGTTCTCTTGAGCCTCATAAGAGCAGGACATCATGTTACCAAAGGTGACAAAGTTAGCTGGTGGCTAAACAGATCTGAAACCAGGATGCCTGCTTTGTGTGTCTATGCTTTTAATTACCACGCAACACTTGAAAATTACCCATAACAAACTTGTAATATTTTGTTAAGCATCCTGGTTAACCTGCTGTTTCCAGATCCCTGAATAACTCAGGATGGTTACATTTTAAGTAAATTAATATGAAGATTGTACAACTTGGTACATTTAATAAAAATCACTGTATTGAAAAAATTTTGAATAATTGCACGATGAGGGCCTAAAGATTATACTAATGCATATTAACTATGTATGCAAATTGGGTTTGGATCATATTTTCCAATTATGAGTTGCTGCGGGCCACAGGAATATATAAGAACTCAGCTGGTTATGGCAAAGTCACTACCTGGAGGGATCAGGGAATTCCTCCAGAGGAAGCCAAATCCCAAAGAGTTTTTGGTGTTACTTGGCTTGTTATATATCAGCTGTATTCTGTTATGAAAATCATGTGTGCCTTCATAGTTTTTCCAGTTGACTTTCCCCTAAGAAGGAC